CCAAGATCATGACACAGACAAATCCGAGACTTGATTACAAACATGAATGACTTGTCAAACGTGAACTTATTTTAATGGAAATGCATGGCTATTTTATGATTATTTTTTATGCTTTTATAGACAGCTTCTTTGCAGACATAAATGTATCTATTGATAAAGTTTTATCTATTAACTGTTTCTGGAAGTCAGGTGAAGAGGCACCTGAAATAGGTAATTAGGGACGCTAGGGCTGACAGCATCTGACAGCACCTGAAGCCTTATTCAGGTCCACATGATGAAGTAAACACAAGTGAGTCCAAATCTGGATCTGGCTTCAGGTCCAGATGCTGTCACCCCTAGAGTCCCAAATTACCTAGTTATAAATTGCGAGTATGTGTGAAATGAATCTCTTTATTGCTTTAAAGATACCACTTTAAAATGTCTCTGCAATTTTATCCAGAACTATTATTCAAACATAAAAAATACTATTATTATATTAACATGAATAATATAAATCAGTCTACCCTTATTAGTGATTTTGATTTTGTTCTTATTTTAGGTGCAACTTCAATAATGTCCACCAGAGGTCAGTATGGTAATGATGAAAAAAAAAAAATGGCAGGCTGTTGTCACGTGGTTGCTAAAGACCGTCAGTACTGCATTAGTTACCTACTCAAGCAGACAAATCAAGGCCTTGGTTAGAAACATGAATAACTTGTCAAACAATAAATTATTTTAATGGAAACACATGGCTGTATTAGAAAAAATACCTCACTCTGGGGGTAAAAAAAACAACCTAGAAGAGCAAAGTGTTTCTTTGTAAAAAAGATAAAATAGACATCAAATATGTACCTTACAGCATTGTTCTTCAGCTAAAGATGAAAGGACAGAGCTTCTACAGGAGATGCTTTTTCCTTCCTTCAGCTGTGTTATCGTTTATGATCAATATCAAACAGACACACCGCAGAAGTCAAACACAAGTGAGTCCAAATTTCTTTTCAAGTACCAACAATCTTGCCCCGGTTCTAAAACAATACACCAACTGTATCTGTCTGTGTGTTTGCCAAGAGCAAGGAAGTCAGGAAGTATTGGCCAAACATAGCTGTTCTGTAAATAGATAGGACTTAATGCCTGCCCCACACACAGACACACACACAATGCAGACACAAAACACAAGCAGCTGCAAACAGATGGGGGCAGTTATGTCCATGCAAGGCAAGTACCCCCCCCAGAAATATTTTCCAAAAATCACAAATGTCTTGCATGCAAATGTGTAGCCATTCATTCATATTTAGTTAGAAACAAAACATGGGGCAAACACATGCTCCCTACCAGAGTTTAACACTCATAAATCAGCTCACACACGATGGGAGGCTGAGATGCTTCCTAATGGTGATTTAATAAACTACAACTACAGAAATAGGCTGGTGAAGATTCTCAGTCATCCAGGTCATAGTCATTCCAAAAAAGTTAAATAAATAAAACAATCCACTGGACTTTGTACGACAGAAATAGGATAAACATTTTCGGGTCAACATGCAAAGATCTTTTTACTGCTGTACATTAGTAATACATCCTCAGGATTCAAAGTCACTGTGTTGATGCGACACATTTAGCTTTTGTTTCTCTACTTTAGCCCATTTTTATCAACCTTAATAGAAAATCCATACATGTGTAACCTCAAGGCCGAAACTGTGATTCAAGTCTTATTAGGAAGTCCACAAATTGTTTTTAAAAACCTTTAGCTGATCCATAATGCTGCAGCCAGAGTTCTGGTTTAAATTAAAAACAGAGATAACATTTCTCATATTTTAGATTTCCTACATTGGCTTCCTGTAAACTCAGAATATAACTTAAAATCCTTATTCTCAAGTTACACAGTGGCAGAGTTCGAAGTACTGTTGCCTTCCCAGTTGATTCCCGGCTTCTTGCTGCATGGAGTTTGCATGTTTCTCTAAACTGCCCTATGGTGTGAGTATGTGTGTGCATGGTTGTATGCCTTTTTGTGTCTCTGTGTTGCCCTGAAACAGAATGGTGACCTGGATGGATGGATGGATGGATGGATGGATGGATGGATGGATGGATGGATGGATGGATGGATGGATGGATGGATGGATGGATGGATGGATGGATGGATGGATGGATGGATGGATGACAATTAGGAGGACCACTTATTTAGATGAACCACATAGAAATAAAAGATCATTTTCTTTAACTTTAAATTGAACAACACCCTTGGAGCTCAATGGCTACTGAAATGTATTGGTCCAATTAACATGAGCCATTGCCACTGTATGGGGATAAGAGCCACTGTTTACTAGGTATGAAGGCCAGTTTTTGAGGGACAAGCTTTTCAAGAATACAATATTTCACTTTTTCTGGTGGATTCCAGTGTGTTCCGTATCATACATGTGCCAGATGAGCCTGTTTCTGTCTATTTTTGACATAAGCCAAGAAATTAGAAATGTCATAAAACTCTGGCTATGGTGCTTGTCTCATTGTTGTGAAGCGTGAGGACATCCAAGGCACAGGAGGCACCAGTTGCACTTGTAATGGCAGTGATAACACAAGCAGTGGAATGACCTTGACAATAGCTCTTGTATCTGGCAAATCTTATATATCAGAGTTACAGAAGGTGTTATCAAAGGATTGATTTTTATAAATGAGAATGAGGTCATACTGCCGCTTGAACATGATTCCAAACAACTAGGTGACAGTGAACGACCTTACCACTACTTGGGCACAACACTAGGAAAATAAATGTTCGACATACTGTACCATGCAAAACCCTGAAGACAAACAGGACTTTTGTGTTGGTGACAGCAGTGTGTCTTTTTTCCTAAACTCAGGGAGACCTGAGCTACTTCCACTTAAGGTACCATATTTGTGCTGTATTTAACACCATGTGCAAAAGCAGAAGAGGGAACCAGCCTTGTGCTTTGCTTAGCTTTTCACTGATGTAGGGAAACTCTGAAAACTAACAGAGAAAGATGTGACCAAGACTTAAGGAGTCTTAATAAAAAAGCCGTCATCTTCTGGTGTCTTACAGCCAAGGTATATGCAGATTCTTATAATTATCAGTGTTGTGCAACACATTTTTAAAAAGAAATTGTGCTTCCCCTCAAAATGCATTCTCCACACATATGCCAGCTGCTCAGCGCAGCCCTTCAGGACCCTGGTGACTTATTACAATTTAGTCTAATTAACCCCTTCACTTGACTTCTAGCGACAGACAGGTGAAAGGTGGAGGGACCAGCACCATCTTCTGATTTGGTGGACAACAAATAGAAGCAGGATAGTCAATGGCAGAGGAGGGCAGGATGTCCATGTGGACAAGAGAGAGGGTGCTGAGCTTGTTCCTGAACCTGTTAAAGAATGTATTGATTTTTAGCTAAGACCAGACTTCCATCAGTCTGATCAGTGATCTTTTTCATCCCTGAGCACACATCTCTGATATTGTTGCTCACAACTTCACCCCTCATGGATCCGTGGTACGGAATAACGGATCAATATTAATAAAAAGAAAATCTATGTTTAAAACTGACTGATATGAAAAAGATATTTTATTTGTAACTGACTTAATGGACATAGATATTTTACCAACAAATTTAATCTGTTCTGTACTTGTACTGGATACCTAAAAGTATGCAAAGCTATTCCTGTAGCTCTGATCAAGCTCATCCAAAACACCTTAAGATATTCAAATGTGACTCCATTTTTACCCAAATTGAAAATTGGAGAATATTTTGTGCCTGGAAAAAATAAAATTTAATAATGCTATGCTTGTGACTGCCTTCAAATCTAAAATATTTAATGATTACTATAATAGTTTTTTGGCAACAAGTAATTCACCCTTATCTCTAAGTTTGTTAAATGGCCAGTTTCACCATTCTCACTTGAAAATCTCACAATATTTACCCAGTAGCAGAATTTTTGCACAAAAGTTTTAAAATTTGATTCAACATGCTGTGCCTTTTGTGAATCTCCGGATGAATCCCTTAATCACCTTTTTTTCCCCTGTCCCTTTTCTTTTAAAGTATGGAGATACATAAAATATTGGTTGTCTGCATGGAGTTTGCATGTTCTCTGTATGCATGTGGGTTCCCTCCAGGTACCCCGCTTTCCTCCCAGTCAGAAAACATGACTGTTTATTGGCTTCTCTAAATTGCCCTATGGTGTTATTGTGTGTGTGCATGGTTGTATGCCCTTGTGTGTCTGTGTTGCCCTGCAACAGAATGGTGTCTGGTCCAATTTACAAAAAATTGGTTGTCCCTTAAAATTGAGGACATCCAAGAAATATCAATTACAGACGTGTTGTATTATGTTGATGATCTTGATAGTAAAATTTCAGATATGGTTAATATTGTTTTCTTGCTTGTCAAATAAAATAGACATTGCTGTAAATGGAGAGATTCTACTCTTTGTTTTGATTTTTTTCTTAACGAATTTAAATTGTATTACACCTCATTGAAACATTTGAAATCTGTTTCTGCAAAAAAAAAGTAACTACCAGTATTTCTAGTTTTATTGTGTTTTTAATCTTGCTCTGTATTTATTCATTGGCCTTTTTGTTTATGTATCTGTTCTTGTTTTTAGCCTTACATTGTGTCTATTTTTTTTCTCTACCCATTTTGTAATTTTGTACCTCAACAAGTCTTTGTACACTATTGGTTAAATAAGGTTAAAAACAAAGTCTCATGATGTCAGAGAAGCAGTTTTACGAAGAAAATATAAAAAGCATAAAAACATGTATCACAAAAGTCATAAAAATATTTTACTGATGTGTATTACTATTCTTTAGTGAGTTAAGGATAGAAATGAGTAGTTTTAGTACCATAATTAGTTACATTATTTATGGACACCCGGATGTGTATGTGTTCGCGCATGCGCAGAACGGTGCAACTGGGACGGTACGGGTGCACACACACCATTGCCACACACAATATGGTGGCGAAAGTAACGTACGGTTCTCATGTCCTGATGCTTATTCTCCTCTTCGCTGGTTGGCCGAGAATTGACCAATGAGAGGCTGACAGAACTGAGGCGTTGGGCTGTGGGCGGGCGTCCTGCTGTCAGGAGTGGAGTTTACAAAGTGTTGGAGAATGTTTTGGAAAGTTTGCTGTACGCTAATTTTTGTTCTCTTTTTCTGCCATGAGCTATGCGACGCTCAAAAGAAGAAAGAGGTGAGAAGTCATTTATATCATGCAGGGAGGGAGGTTCAGACACTTGAGTGCTAACTTATCAAAGAGAGCTCCGTCCTTTTTCCTGTTTTGACAGCTAGCTTTTACGCTAACACGTTGCATCATGTGTTCAGGTTTCTGTAAACTATGCTCGGTGTAATATACCCGCTTCCTGATTAAAGCTAATTCTATTTTTGTTTATTGATTTTCTTTATGTGAGAAATTTGACTGCGGTTCCATATTTAGATGTTTTGAGGGGGGATTTTTTAACACGGAACCAATGAATGAAGTGTCGTTGCTACGGGAGCAGTTACCTTGGTGTGTGTTTCTGTCATGTTCAGACTTTGCTATCAGAGAAGGTGAGTCAGATGATGGACTGGACCTCCAAGCGTTCAGTCATCAGGATGAATGGAGACAAGTTCCGTCGCTTTGTCAAAGCTCCTCCTAGAAACTACTCGGTATTCATCATGTTCACAGCGCTGCAGCCGCAGAGGCAATGTGGCGTTTGCAGGTAGGTGGTTAAAACGCTGTTGATGAAACCGAAGCTGAAACGAACAAACCAGGGCAGTTATGATTTCATTCATTTGTAATAAAAAAAAAAAAAAAAGTGTAACAGCAACAATGTGTTTCTTCACATTTTAAAATACTTATAAGACACAACTGGTTGGGGCTCACCTGTTTCTAAAATAAAAATGCTGAATATATAGAAAGAAAAAAAGAAATAGAACTTTATTGATCTCACAATGGAAATATTCACTCTGCATTTGACCCTTCCCCTTGGGGAGCAGTGGGCTGCCATTGTGTGATGCCCAGGGAACAGTATGGGGGTTAATGGACTTGCTCAGGGAGTCAGTGCAGGCTGTGTGGATTGAACTGGATACTTGCAACCCACTTAGAGCACAAACACACTGCTCTAAACCACTAGGCAAACACTCCCCCAAATGCAACAGTATGGATAACACTATGAGGTGCAACAGTGGGGTTCTTGTGTTTTCCAAGACGCAAACTCTAAATAAATATACACTATATTGCCAAAAGTATTTGCTCACCCATCCAAATTATTGGAATCAGGTGTTCCAATCACTTCCATGGCCACAGGTGTATAAATTCAAGCACCTAGGCAAGCAGACTGTTTTTACAAACATTTGTGAAAGAATGGGTCGCTCTCAGGAGCTCAGTGAATTCCAGCGTGGAACTGTGATAGGATGCCACCTGTGCAACAAATCCAGTCGTGAAATTTCCTCGCTCCTAAATATTCCACAGTCAACTGTCAGCTGTATTATAAGAAAATGGAAGTGTTTGGGAACGACAGCAACTCAGCCACGAAGTGGTAGGCCACGTAAACTGACGGAGCGGGGTCAGCGGATGCTGACGCGCATAGTGCGAAGAGGTCGCCAACTTTCTGCAGAGTCAATCACTACAGACCTCCAAACTTCATGTGGCCTTCAGATTAGCTCAAGAACAGTGCGCAGAGAGCTTCATGGAATGGGTTTCCATGGTCGAGCAGCTGCATCCAAGCCATACATCACCAAGTGCAATGCAAAGCGTCGGATGCGGTGGTGTAAAGCACGCCGCCACTGGACTCTAGAGCAGTGGAGACGCGTTCTCTGGAGTGACGAATCGCGCTTCTCCATCTGGCAATCTGATGGACGGGTCTGGGTTTGGCGGTTGCCAGGAGAACGGTACTTGTCTGACTGCATTGTGCCAAGTGTAAAGTTTGGTGGAGGGGGGATTATGGTGTGAGGTTGTTTTTCAGGAGCTGGGCTTGGCCCCTTAGTTCCAGTGAAAGGAACTCTGAATGCTTCAGCATACCAAGACATTTTGGACAATTCCATGCTCCCAACTTTGTGGGAACAGTTTGGAGCTGGCCCCTTCCTCTTCCAACATGACTGTGCACCAGTGCACAAAGCAAGGTCCATAAAGACATGGATGACAGAGTCTGGTGTGGATGAACTTGACTGGCCTGCACAGAGTCCTGACCTCAACCCGATAGAACACCTTTGGGATGAATTAGAGCGGAGACTGAGAGCCAGGCCTTCTCGTCCAACATCAGTGTGCGACCTCACAAATGCGCTTCTGGAAGAATGGTCAAAAATTCCCATAAACACACTCCTAAACCTTGTGGACAGCCTTCCCAGAAGAGTTGAAGCTGTTCTAGCTGCAAAGGGTGGACCGACGTCATATTGAACCCTATGGATTAGGAACGGGATGTCACTTAAGCTCATATGTGAGTCAAGGCAGGTGAGCAAATACTTTTGGCAATATAGTGTATATTAGTGTTGCACTGATACCAGTATCGGTCAGGGCCCCGATCCAGCACTAAAATGGTGGTATCGGTATTGGCGAGTATAAACAAGTAGGGCACAGAAACCATTTTGAGAGCCAAATGTTTATTCAACTACTGTCACCCATTCCAGATAGGCAATAAAAAGTTCTACTGGATTTACTTTGTATTAGTCTTTTTCCTGCTTCACAAAGGTAGGCAGCAGCCTGACAAAGTCATGACGGCAATTATTTTACATCCAAGCAGCAAGCAGCTCTTCATCTATCCACACACACATCAATTTTAAACAGATGGTATTGGCCAATACTGCACAGCCAGGTATTGGATATCTGGCCAAAAAAATAAAATAAATATATATGTGTATGTGTATATATATATATATATATATATATATATATATATATATATATATATATATATATATATATATATATATATATATATATATATATATATATATATATATAGAGCTCAAGTTTGCTGACTTGCTTAAGTGGTAGGTCATCTGTCCTGCAAACAGGAAACCAAGCTTGGGGGAATGAGCTACCACTGTGGGTCCTTAGGCAAGACCCTTCACGCTAATGCCTGCTTTGGGTAGATGCAGCCTAGTGGTTAGGGCATTGGGCTTGGAATCCCACTCTGGGTCCCTGAGCATGACCCTTAACCCCCACACTGCGTAGAACAATGGCAGCCCACTGCTCCCCAAAGGGGTTAAATGCAGAGAGTTAATTTTGTTGCTCTGTACTTGTGACAGTGTAATGACAAAAAAAAAAAAAAAAAATGGGACAGGAGAAATGTACAAAAACAATGTGATAGTTTCCTCTATATCATTCTTACTTCATGCAGTTGCCTCATTCATTTCTTGTGGAACTGCCAGTATGTCCTGAGTGGATAAACACACCTACGTCTTTGATTAAATCACAATAATATATTGGCGCTTAAGGAGTCTAAAGATAGACTGTCATCAGTTCTAAAACGAGCTGTTGTCGACCCCTTGGGGGTGGGCGTAATGGTAGCTGATCTCAGACATGAGGAGTTTTTTTAATCATCATGTTAGATTTCCCTCTCTCACTTGCTAACATATGCTCTACCTGAGGCTCTGGTACTTGGTTAAAAATATAGTTAATTGGCAGCCGTCCTCCTGATCGGCTCTGTCTCACATTGACAGGTTTGACTTGTCCAAACCAAACTTAGCATTTATTCTATCCTATATTCCCAGCAGTGGTTAATTAACTTGTAACACATAACTTCATGAAGTATTTATTTCATTTGTTCTTCTTCTTCTTTGTTTTGTTTTTTTCCAGACAAGCCGATGAAGAGTTCCAGGTGCTAGCTAACTCCTGGCATTATTCCTCCGCCTTTACTAACAGAATCTTTTTTGCGTCAGTGGATTTCGATGAAGGATCAGATGTCTTTCAGATGGTGAGGCGATAACTCTTACACTACTTGTTTTACTGTAAAACCAACATGTAAAAAAAGTCTCTGTGATTAGCTTGTTTACAAAGGAATTCCACCACATTGTTCACTCAGAGCTGATTTTTAGGATAACATGGTAATATTGCAATCTTTAACAAGGCTAAGCTAACACACAAAGCCTTTGTTTTCATCCAGTACTGATGGAAATTTGGACATCATCTCACTTTGCATTACTTAAACACAGATACCTGTATAGCTAAAGAGACATTTGCATCTCCTGTGGTTCAACAGGATGATTAGTTGCAAAGCAGCATTCAGAGGCTTGTCTGTTTAAATCCAGTTTCATTTCCTGGTCATTTCAAAGCTCCTTTAATTAAGGTGTTTAAGTCCAGTGTTCCCACTGTTTCATGTTATACAGGATTAATTGTTCGTAATGTAAGTATTCTAAAGGTGGGATGATAATGATAATATTAACCTTTATTTTATTATTATTTTTTTTTTCTAATAAAAATTGCTCTCAGCTTTTAATTCATCATCTTTGGAGAGCAGTTAACAGGTAGTCATGTGGGGACATCAAAACTTGATGCTTGCAGTCTTCTTAGACCCAGCCGCTCAGCTCTAACCACAAGGTCAGCACCCCTTCAAAATGAAACATGTCCTCTGCTTTTAAATCACCTCTTAGGGTGCAGAGAGAAACTGATAAGACCACGCAACACTTTCTCTTATAGATTAGAACCCCTTGCTATCTGGATGATAGGCAGGAACCACCATGGTAACGGGAAAAACTAGGCAGGAATCTGAACTTTTTCCAGGGAAGTTGCACAAAATATGTTTTGACAATTAACATCAGTTTGATCCCAGACCACTTTTTACTTATGGTTTATTATCAAGGATTCACAATGTTGTATTTTTGGAAATATCCAAAATACATATATTTTACAGCCAAATAAGCCGATGTGGCCCTGACGTAGGGTGAAGGTGTTTAGCAGAGACAGAAATTGTTTACAATCAAAATGAAACTGGGGAAAATAATGTTGAAAAGGATGAAGTAATGAATACCACTAAAAAATGTTGTTGGTGGCTTTTAAAAAAACTGTTTTATGGACAGTTTAATCATTTATTATTTGTCATCCTCCCTTAGCTCCACTGCCTCTCCCTAACCCTGGCACTCCCTCTGCCCGGCAGACTGCTTTAATGTATCACTGTCCTCCTCCAATCTCGCACGGTCAGCTTCCAGAGCTGGCCCCGGCCATCTGACTCTAGTGCGTTTTCTGCACGACATTCTCCTCTCCCACGGTCATCCCTTGGCTCAGTTAATCAAATGACCTCTGAGCTGGTTTTCTTGTAAAAAGGATGAAAGGGAGCGCAGTATAAGCTAAATCCATAGCTATGTCTTTGAAACGGACCCAGTTAGTGGTTGAACTAATAAATAATGCAAAATTGGAAACAAGAACTAGGCTGCAGCAGAGTGAGGAAGAGACTGATTTATTTTATCATTTTGTATACACAAGTGTATACAAAAAGAAATGTTGTTCAGAACAGCTCTATAGACAATCTCATTCTTCAAATCGCAGCCTTGACAAGGCAAGCAGTGAAAAACAAACAAACAAAAATCAATGTGATATTAAGTCCCTATATCTAGTTATGGAATGTGCATCATTCATGTTTGCTTGGCGGCAGTGATGTCTGACAGATCTGGATAGGATCTGGATAGGATTTTAGCATCCAAATGGGATTTTTAACCTGGTGGAAGAGGATCTGATGCTGAAGCATTAGGGGCCTGTTGCCTGGGCTTCACCATCAGTTGTTGTTGAGCTGCTACTACTGCCTCCAGCTCATGAAGCACTCGCTTCTCCTGTATCAGGGGAGGAAGAGGACGATGATGACGATGCTGTTAGGGTGCTAGCCCCCTGGGTTGAAGGGGTAACTTAAGGGATAAAAGGTGTAACATTCAGGGATAAAAGGGGTCCCTATGTCCTCCAGCAGTCTAAGCCTATAGCAGCATAACTATAGACATGGCTCAGGATAACCGGAGCCGCTGTAACTACAAGCTTTATCACAAAGGAAAGTTTTAAGCCTTCCATTAAAAGCAGACAGGGTGTCTGCCTCATAGATTAAAAATAGTAGTTGGTTCCACAGAAGAGGAGCCTGATAACTAAAAGATCTTCCTCCCATTCTACATTTACAAATTTTCAGAACCACTTATAGACCTGCAGGTTAAAAAAAAAACACGCTCTGTTACGAACATAAGGTATAAGATCTCTGATATAAGATGGAGCTTGGTTATTTAGAGCTTTACATGTGGAGAAGACATTTTTAACTTTTATTCTGGATCCTCTGTGTAGTCAGAAAAGGAGTTTAGCTCCTTTTTGTGCCAAATTCTTAGCCCAGATTGAGCTTCGGCAATTTACTTTTTTTTTCTTTCTGAAATGTGTGGTTCTCTGCTCATTTCGCACTACTTTGCAATGCGCTTTCAGAACTTGAAAAGGTGTTTTCAGTGAACACTGTGTCATTTGGCATTAAGGTCAGCAAAGTTCTTACTCAGTTGGAGTCTGTCACAGTGCAGGCTCATTATAAAGCAAAGCCACTGCCATTCGTATCTAATGATTCAACTTTCAGAAACTTTAAGGCTCCACTAAAAATTGCATTTGTTTTTATTCAAAGATCCTCAGTCTAGTCGTTAAAGAAATTTACATGAGCACAGAACAGTGCACTGCGATGCCTGCCAAAGTGCTGTTTTAATACTTGATGATAAAAGGATATCATTTGAATATTGCACCTTTTGAAATCACAATAATCATCTTGATTTTACACAGATGTGAACTACAGTTCAAATCTGTTTTTCTTTGTTTGTCTGCAGCTTAACATGAACTCTGCTCCAACCTTCATCCACTTCCCACCCAAAGGGAAACCTCGGCGATCAGACACCTATGAGCTACAGGTCAAAGGCTTTTCAGCTGAACAGCTGGCAAGATGGGTGGCAGACAGGTCAGATGTGCAGGTAAGCATTTGATTTTAGTCATCATAAATCCACAGCAAACCTAGTGGTTATAAAGTCCACCAAAACACTCAACACAAGGGGGATTTTAATTCATCCTCATCCTGTTTTTCTCTTGTAGATCCGTGTCATCCGTCCACCCAATTACGCAGGGCCTCTCTTGCTGGGGTTTCTCCTGGCTGTGATTGGTGGACTGGCATATCTGCGAAGGAATAATTTGGAGTTCCTTTTTAACAATAACGCTTGGGCTTTTTCTGCTTTGGTAAGAAGCACACTCCTAAACACATCAGTCGCTGCATCACCAAGCAATTTAACACAAACAAGAGCATTAGAGAACTGAGGTCTTTATTTATTAAACGTAGAAAGTTACAAAAACAGTTTTAGAGGACATAATGAAATAAAACTGAAAAAAATAAATAAATGAATAACATTCTCTTCATATAAACCAAATATAAACTGTAGTTAAGGTTAAGCTCCATTTATGTTGAGGCTGTAAAGCAGTAAATATTTTAAACTGCAGTCCTTATTCTTAAATGGGAGCAGCAACTGCATTCACCTCTACCAAAGCATAATTTCACACATTGGATTAATTACTGGATGGTATTTTAACTAGGTAATAAAAACATAACGATTAAAAATGAAATGCAATTAAAATAGCTTCTTTGCACTTGGTGTAATCCCTTATGGTGAAAATATCTAGATGGCAAAAAAATGAAACGTACAGCACTGATTTTTAAATTCATAGTTTTTTTGTTCTGACCTCCGCTTTTATCAGTGGTTGTTATGCCTTGATGTGCGCATGATGTTCTGGGTGTTCAGCGAAGCGTAGCAGACACTGCATAAGTAAGAGATAAATGGGTGGAATCAAGACGAGACAACCCAATGATTTTTAGCTGGAGCTAAATTGTTTTTTTAAACAATTTTTACTACTGCAGAGGTCCAGAAATGAAGAGTTTTTTTTACATTTCTGGTAACACTTCCTGGGTCTTTTAGAGGAAGATCCACAAGGCAAATGGGTTTCCCTTTTTACAAGGAACTAAGTTTCTCATGTACTGTATCTTTTTCCCTACGATTTAACATCCCATGTTGTTTGTCTGCAATCAATACTGTGTTTCTTAAACTCTTTGCTTGACTCATATTTCTTCTATATTATTTCTTGTCTCACTTCAGTGCTTTACTCTGATCATGACTTCCGGCCAGATGTGGAACCACATCAGAGGACCGCCTTATGCACACAAGAACCCCAACACTGGACAAGTGGTAAGAAAATAAACCCATAACTAAAGAATTAAACATGCAGCTTAGTCAGTGCTCTAAAAAATTTGTCAGACTTGAATGATTATTGTTCTGGTACTGGTTGTTAAAAATGGATGGTAGCTATGGCTGTAATTAGATCTTAGCTATACAGCAGGGGTGTCAAACTCATTTTCTCTGAGGGCCACATCAGCGTAATTGCTGTCCTTAAAGGGCCAGATGTAACTTATAAATGTAACTAAATGTAATTTAATGTAATGTAAAATAAATGTAACTACTCCTTAATGTTAAATAACTCATTATTTATTATAACTTATTCAAGTGACAATTACAGTTGCATAGAAAACATATGCTTGCTTGTTGCTCTAACACACGTGTCACACAGCCGCTTCCTACCCAGTCCTCCTCATCGGTCACTCCCCCTCCAACCGAATCACTATCATCGATATTTTGAAGCATTTCTAAAGCCTGTATCACTGTTAGGTTTCTTCTGAACGCCACTTTTTCCATATTAGCCAAAAAGTTCTAGGTAGAATGTTGGTTTCTAGGCAACGGTACCAAACGTCAATCAACCGCGGGAAGAATTTACAATGCAACTAATAGAGCTGTCAAAATGATGGTTGCGGGGGATCGAGGTAGAATTAACCATATTTATTTTTTACGTTTTAATTTTATTAAAAAAACTAAGTGAAAATGAAGGAAATATAGAAACAGGAAAAGTCAGTTAACATGAGCAAAATAAATTTAATTTTAAATATAGTTCTTTCCCTTTAAAATCTCAGAACCATCAAAATGACGGCTGTGGGAGTTCTAGCGGGCCACATAAAATGACATGGCGGGCCACATCTGGCCCGCGGGCCTTGAGTTTGACACATGTGCTATACAGTATCTGTCTTAAAGTACATGAAGCTGCACTACCCAATCTCTACACTGAATAAACATTCCTCCACCTATTGGCATCCATTCTGAGTGTATAACAACACTGTTGGCTCCAAGATTACACAAGAGCTGAGCCTATATAGAGAACTCCACCATAGATACAACCATGAGGTTAAAAAAAAAAAAAAAAGAACAGCAAATCATATAGATTGTAGAGAAGTAGTGGAGTAGAAGGTAACAGACTGAGGCAGGATCGGACTGGTAATCTGTGATACCGGGATTTGCCCGGAAGGCTGGTCCTAATTTCAACGTGCAAGGGCCGGCCCTCCTTAAATCATACTGGCCCCATCACTTACTCTCAGGCCAAAGCATCTACCTGTGACGGTAAATAATTCAAGGCACTGAATAAGTAATCCAATGATAAGTACCTAAATGCATGCAGTATATATACCCCTCTTTGTCATGCACATCCTTGTGACGGTTGGCATCTGGTTGAATTTTCTATTTCTTTAAACTGTAAACTCCTTGCAACAAACTAAATTATAATAAAACTAAAATCCTTTCTTTAAACCAAACTACGATGTTCCACTTATATTTGGGGAATTTATGTTTGAATATTTTGCAAAAATATGTTGCGCTGCATGATGAGGTTTTGCATCTAAAGGCTAAAGTTTCCAGGTTGTTGCAAGGTTCAGATGTTTCCCCAATCTGGCAGTTTAGGATGGCCATCTATAGGTGAAAAAAATTTTAATTTAGATTTATGGCCCGAGAGATCAATAGACTTTGGTTCAAATTGGGTGCGCACTTTCATCTGGTTTGGTCTGCCGCGGTTTCCGTAGCTTGGTGAACTCGCAGGCGCGCGCTTTCAGGAAATCCTATACACTACTGTTTATGCTCTAAAGACGTTCTAAATTACTTAGTTTCGAGTAAATTATGGACGCTACCCACTCAGGACACTTAGAATACATTGGGCGAGCAGTATGGATGAATATTGACACGTTTTTTGTGGACTTTTATGGACCTGTCTGCCTCGGGCACCATAGACCTCCATTATTTGAATGTCAGCAGACAGCAAGAAGCCTCCCAGATCTCCAGATGCATTTGAGATATCAAAAAAGTACTCCAGAGTGTTGTTCAGCATGGGGGTGAGTAGAAAATGAAGGCTAATCATGTTTTGGGTGTACTATTCCTTTAAAGGAGAAGTTCGGTTTTTTACACTTTAAGCCCATTTTCTGTAGTGTCCAGGATGAAATCGAATGATCGACACCAAAAGTTTGACAATTGCTCCTGTCTCTGCTTTTTGGCTCATTTAGAATCAACCCCTGGCTGCTTTAGAATGGCTTCCATAGAGCATGTCCGATAATGTCCTTAAAACAACCTTAAACGTTCTTTTTTTAAAATATGCTACTCACCGGGTCGTCAGCGCTGTTCAATGACGTTCCAAAAAAAGTTTCGTAAAGAAAAAACGTTCCTGTAGTGTTTTATTTAGCATTTTGTAAATCCCATTGAGTTCTGTTGGAATAGTCAATATTCCCCTGCCACCGGAAACGGAAATGGGGCCTGTTTACACAGTTGTAGTCTTTTCGCTTCACTCTGTGTACTCCGACGTCGAGAATCAAGAATCCACCTTTCGTATTCCATTTTCAGAGTTTTTTAAAGTGTTTAACAGAGACGTTAGCACCTCGACGTCGGAGTACACACCGAACTTCTCCTTTAATCCACAACGTGTATTACATTTGAGAAGCACGTGTTTGACTGTGCTTCTATTTTTTTTTTTTCATGGGGGAGGTCCATAAGTGGGCCGGTGTAGATGGAAAAATGCCAGGGCCGACAATCTTCCCCAGTCTGTGCCTGGAGTGAGGAAAAGTTGTCATTATTTATGTCCTCCAGCAGCCTTACCCCATATTCACAGTGCAGTCTGTTTGCACCCCATCATCCATCCCAAAGCAACACTGGATGCGTATAGGATCAGCTTCTGCATCCAAACAGTACCCCGCTTACTTTGAAATATACCAGATCCACTTTGCTCTTCCTAAGTCTGACTTCCTGTCTGGCCTTTAAGTTTCACACCCATTAAAAAACACGTGTTTCTTGCTCTAAGACCACAGCAACTGTTCCCACTGCTAATAATCAGTTCATACCTTTAGCATGGTGGGGTTGCAAATTTCCTTTGAAATAACTTTATTTATTTTTTTTAAGATTCAACACAATAGATGTTTTGTTTGTGCTGCTTTGTTTTCAAGATAATAAAGCCCTATTTTCTCAGTAACATCTGAACTAAAACCATTAACTGTATTTCCAGAGCTACATCCATGGGAGCAGCCAGGCCCAGTTTGTGGCAGAGACTCACATCGTCCTTCTCTTCAGTATCCTTGAGTGGTTGTTTTTAGCACATACTGATCATCACTAATGGTGAATTGTTTAGCCATTTCTCTCCTAAATCTGTCCAACCTTCAACCAGCAGTTAAACAGCTTTTGAGTAGCAAGCAAGAAGCTCTTCAATAGCTCAGCCTAACTTATAGTAACTGGTAATTACACTGGCCTTCCTTTATCCTATTCAGGTACAGTGAAGAAAAATATGCATTTATTGGTTTGAATGCTCATATTTCCCACGGATTCAGTTTAAGTGTGAATATAATACGATGTTAGAAAATATTAGGTAATATTCCTATGCTAGTTTTATTCCTATTTAGCTATATTTTACACATTTTGTTGCACTTTCTTTTAGTTTGGGACAAAATGTTAACATTTGGTCTCAAAAGTTGACTTGGAGGGCAAACATGGTGCCATTTCTGACATGTGGATAATGCTAATGGCAGCAGCAACATGTTAACTCATCTTTCCAGACACCGTTGATGTATTAATTTGTTTTCCTAAAAAGAGATTTTCTGCTTTTTTATTATTAATTACAGTATCACAGTTTTTTTTAAATAAATGTAAAAGAAAATTGTTTGAAAAAAAAAAACAATTTAACAAGTCAATAACAGATGATGATGATGATGATTATAACCAATGATCATCATTCCTATTATGTAGTTATAAAAGCAAGACTAATGTGTGGAAAGTACAGCTGCAGATTGTGTGGTTCAGCAACGCAGATATGACCAGTGAGGGTGAGAGTGAGACACACAGAGAAGCTGTTTATTTTATAATATATTGTGCATTTTACCAACAATAACCAAACAGAAATACCTTCTCATTCCTGTGAAGAAAAAAACGGTACCTTCAAATTTCAGTTTTGCAGACATAACGCTTGACAAGTTATCTGAAGTTAGTAGAGGCAACCTTTGCGTTGATCAGATGCCTTGGCGCAGTCCATTGATTTCTGATGAAAAACATCTATGGACATTATAATGCCTGTGTACGTTTTGTTCCATTTGATTGTTAAAATTGTATGCTTTTCATAAGAAGCGTCTGATTTGACTATTTATCTCTCGTTGTGATGCGTTGCCAGGATAACCGGCTCATGCCACAGCTGCTCGTTTGGTGGCAGGTTAATGTTTTGTTAAATGACGCAAAGTATAATTTCAGAGAAAACCAGCGCAACAATGTAGAACAACCAGGCTTACTTTATGTAAACAGCTAAACACAACTACGTCTGTATCCAAATATATCGGATCTTAACATCAAATGCATTTTATTTACAAATTATCAGTGTAATTTAATCACACAATTTTCTGAAAATTAACAGTATATTAAATTGGCTGTTGGCATAAGCCTAAGCTAGCTCTCCCGACTTGTTTTGAAACTAGCACCTAATGACAAGCAGCATCCAGTCAGCCCTTCTGATTGCTGACCGCCATCTCCTACCACGTTCATTCTCTTTTGGTAAGCGACAAATAAATGTCTAGGTCACTTTTTTACTGTCACACCCAACGCCATCTTTTATGCACACGAGACCAAAGCAGGAACTCAATATAGCCACGGCTAGATTCAAACATCTGTGACATCAGCTCCAAGGCATCAATAACACTTTTTAACTAGACACTCTGCAGCCAATCAGAATGTGTGTTCACCCGTACCATGGTCGTAAAAGAACCCTCGAAGACGGCAACAACTCCAATTGTGTGCTGTAGGGATCCATCTGGATGCTAGACAATAAAGTTGCAAGCAGGGTTTCAATATAGGGCACGGCTTCTTTTGTGATTGGCTCTAAATTAGTCCTGAGATCCTTCAGAAGTCCAGCTATAGTTGCTCAGTCATATTGTGCTAAATGTTTTGGATATCCTCGTCCCGGTGTTTCTCATAGTCCGCACCTATTCTGCATACTCAGAAAGATATAAAGCTAAATGAATCTGACCTGCCTTTTTGCTCAGGTGACATAATTCTCAGTTAATAGTTTATTTTTGAACGAACTATCAGATTTGGACCTTTTATATTAAATACAAACCTGTAGATCAACCTGAGGTTCGTTTTAAGCCTTTATTTTGATGGTTATGGCTGACAGAGCATTACAATCCACAAAGTGAAATCCAAGTTTGAAGACTTCTGCCTCAAACGATTATTAATAAAAATTATGTTTAGCTTTTTTCAGATCTAGGGAGTTTTATTCCTCTTAAGTTCCAGTTTCAGGAAGCAAAGCCAGAAGTTCGGCAGAAACTTAGATGATGTCCTTGTTTCAACCTTGACCTTGCCCTCAGATGGAGCAGTAACCGCTGGGATCATTCTTCTTTGTGAGGCCGCCACTTCGGACATTGACACTGGAAAGAGGAAGAGTATGTACATGACGCTGACTTCACCAGTTTTGTGATATCACATTTAATGTACAGTGGGCCAAAAAATATTTATTGAGGGAGCCACTGATTGTATCAACTCTCCTTAGATGAGAGGTCTGAAATTTTCATCATAGGTGCACCTTAACTATAAGACATAACCTTTGTTGGCAATGACAGCTGAAACGTTAACAGGTTAAATGTTTTCTGTCTGTCAACAGACTCATTTATATTGCAAAGCTCACTATGTGAAAGAAAGAACAACTTAGAGAATAATTGTATTTTGTCTTGTCTCGCCTTTTTCATGTCATTCAATGTTTCAGCTTAGAGAATGACAAACAGTATGATTTCAGTAATGGAGTAACATTTATTTCATACAAAGGAAAAGCACTACATGTGAAGCTACAATTGTCCCATTTAGTAGTTTTTACAAACCCAAGGATGAGTCCTTCCTGCATTTGTGACAGGTATACTTTGTGCAGTGCACACAACGCTCAGTGCTGTGGTTCCTGTTGCAGAGATTGCGCACCTGGCCTGCTTATAATAACAATGAAGAAAATCTTTAAAAAATAGAGTTTAGCACATATTCTGAAAGTAAGAGTTGTAGTATGAACTAGATGAGGTTATATATGTGTGCTACACGTTTGGAGGAAGTACAGTGATCTGTAGTGTGGTCATTGCTCATTTTATACTTATTCTAATAATAAAATAGAGGTGTCTTTTGTCATTTAGGCTTTGGGAAATTCCTCATAGTATTATCTTTTAATCCAATTAATGTGATATGAAAGACATGAGATGAAATACAAATGAAATTAATTAGATAATAATCCACCTGTCCTTGGTGATGCTTTTGAATATTTCTCTCTGATTATTTTGCAACTTGAAGACGGTCCCCAAGCATTTGCGAAGGAGTGAGCTCTGCATAGGTTCCAATGTAATTCTAACAGCGCAATAGGAGACACGTTTTTAGGAAACTACGGTTGTAGCTCACTGTATGGCTTGCTCTGGTTGCGGAGAGGTGTCTGTAGAATAAATCATCCGCCGACGAGTTATTCATCCGGAAAAGCCGAATCTGTGAATACCGTATTTTCACGACCATAAGGCGCACCGTACTAAAAGGCGCAGTCTCAGTTATGTGTGCCATTACTGTATTTAACACACACATAAGGCGCACCGGACTATAGGACGCAGGTTTTATATACAGCTACATGTCCTCTACTACGTTTAAATACCTCTACTGCACATTTAAAAATAGAGCGGGAGCAAAACTGAGTATGTTTGTGCTTTATTCATGTATTTATTACAAAGTATTAATCAAACCTGGGAGCTGGCCGTGAGACAGACACATCGCTGATGACACAGAGCGCTGTGATCACTCCTCTGAAACAGTTTATTTAAAATGCAGAAATCTGCCGGCAGAATATGTTCGCTTTTATTATCCTGGTGCCTGCAGTTTAGATTGTACCAGTTAGTTCTGATGCGCGGCTGAAGCAGGTTTTCTGCTCTGGCTGCGTGGTGCAAAAGTGTGTCTGACACGCGTTGGGCGGAGCTACTCTATCCTTTCTTTGCCTTGCAGCTATATTTGCTGTGATCAGTGGGAATAAAGTAGTTTTAATATGTTTTTAAGTGGGAAAATCTACCTGAAATCTTAATTAAAAAGCAGCCTCTGGCCGGGTCGCCTCCTCGCGGTTCACCGCGGCAGCTGGTAGGTGTTTTTCATCAAAATAATTCAAACTGCAGGCACCAGGATAATAAAAGCCAACATATTCTGTCGGCAGGTTTCAGCATTTTAAGTTAATTTAGGCGTTAATAAACTGTTTCAGAGGAGTGAACACAGCGCTCTGTATCATCAGCGATGTGTCTGTCAGCTCCCAGATCAGCTTCTCTGATGCGGCGCGTCCAGCAGCAAAACTTCAATTTTTCCATCTCGAGCAGCAGCGCGTTTGCGGCACGTCATGCGCGTCCAGATGTTTAAACACTCCCGCTGCGCTGCGCCTGCCGCTCAAAACGCGCTGCGGGACCTTTTGCTGTGCTTCGACGCGCGTCAACCATTGACTTTGCATGTAAACTCGCTGCTTCTGCTGCACCTGCTGCGTCCGGTGTGAAAGCAGCATTAACGGCCGGTTGACACTGATGTCGAGCGGTTGAAGTTCCTTTGTCAAACCTCCCGCAATAACAGCAAGCACAGCATTCATTTGTTTCACCATGTTTTTCACATCAGCTGTGAGATAGGCACGCATGGAGTCACAGATTAACAGCGATGGTGATGCGTGGAAAAAACCACCTGGTCTCCTTACATACACCTGCCTCAGCCACTCTTTCATCATCTCCTCAATGAGGAGATGAGGAGTTCTGCATAAAGCACATACCTGTTCTTTTATACACAATCCACGCCCCCACTTCCCCCTTTAACGTTCTCATGGTGGTCTCAACAACGTCCGCAGTAACAACACACATAGGGCGCACCGCACTACAGGGCGCACGGCACATGTTGAGGGAAAAAAACGTTTATATGCGCCTTATATCGCGAAAATACGGTATATTGCCAACAGACTGCAGTCCCTTACTGCTGCCGTGCTGCAGAGAGAGAGGAGAGATTGCTTGAGTTATATTTGCCCCCTAATAAATAAGTCAAATGTTCATTATTGTATAACTATTGTTGCTTTCTACAGCTTTCCAGCTCATGCAGCTATTTTCATTGTACAGATCAGTTATCGTCTGATCGCTGCGCTGGTGGCTTCTCTGAAATCATTGTGGTGTTGGTGACAATGATGACATAGACTTAGTTGTATATAATTACAAATATGATTTCTCCCCCCTGCTCTCAGGTAAAACACTCTCAAAGAGAGAGACTTGAGCTAAAACCGAAACCGAAGCGGGTGGAATGGTTCTCCAGCCACGGCGCTAAAAGGGATTCATGAGTTGTGACATGATATTCTCCCAATCTGCCTCTGGATTGTCCATATGCTCTTTAACAAACTTCAGACAAACCTGGACAGGTTCTGTCTGAAACAGGGGGACACTGCTGGCCCTGCAGGATGCCTTCATCCCAGCTCTCTGCAGGTCATTCATTGGGTCCCATGTAGTTGTTGGAGTTTTACTCTCTGTTTTCATGAACATTTGGACCCTATAGGATGGGATGTCGCATTGGGTCCCAGATGGAGGGAAATTATATATACCCTTGTATTTCTTCCATTTTTTTCCTGTTACTTCCACTGTTTATTTATTCCCTCCAACTTTCTTGCCTGTTGTAGATTCACTCTCACAGCCGGGTCCAGGTCTACAGTTTTCTTCTTGCTGTCCTTCAGCAGTACTTAGGTCTTGGCCATGGTTGAGTTTGAAATCTGACTGTTTAAAGGCTGTGTTTTTTATACAGATACAGATAAGGACAGGTGTCTTTTATAAAGATTACGAGTTCAAACACATACCTTTAAAACAGGCAATGACAAGATGCTACCAGACATCTTGTTTGTGGATGACAAAAAATGCATTTTCCACCATATTTTACAAACGAGTTCTTTAAAATCTCCTGATTTTATTATATTTTGTACTCTTTTTGTCTCTCATAGTTGAAGTGAATTATAAAAATTACAGACCCTTGTCACCTTTCTAAATAGAAGAATCTGGATGACTGAATACTTATTTGCCCTACTATAGATTCTGTTTAATTATTAATTAACTTAGTTCATTTTGTCATTTCTTGTGTCACTTTCTCTGCTTAGATTCACAGTAGCTGGACCTCAGAAGGATATTTTCTGACTTTCTGGTTATGTGTTTTTAATTATTTAAGAGTGTCTGTTCATCACGCATGCATAAAGATTTTTATGATTTTTTTTTCTGTTTTGTCTCTTAGTTATGTGCGTAGCAGGTATATGTCTGGTGATGCTGTGCTTTAGCTGGTTGCTGTCCATTTTCAGAGCAAAGTACCACGGATACCCATACAGGTAGACATTCTAGCAGCACTGCAATGTGAACGTATGAAGCGTTTCTTAATATAGTTAAACTGATGTTTCTGTTACAGCTTCCTGATGGGTTAGATGTCCCAGTTTCTATCCAGATGTAACCCAAAAGTAAACTTGAAGACACAGGTCTTTAAAATCTGATCAAACGACGGATCGCTGCCAAGATCAGCTGGATCAGTTCAGAGATTCGGTTTAGATTCACCTGTAATGAAAGAAGTTCACCGGCCTCCCACAAGGTTTTCAGTTTCACTCGTTTTTTGACATTCATTTGGTATCTTAATAATAACTGCTCAACAATTTTCTTATTACCTGTTTGATTGAAGATGTTAAACCTCATTTTGTAAATTTGAATATCAAAGGAATGTTTCTAAATATAATTTTCAGACTGTGGCCATAAAGTGACCTTCAAATAGATATAAACATAGAGCAAAATGTTTAAAGCTTTTTGACCAAACCTGCTGTTATACTAATCCAAGTGTTGGTATGCACGCTCCATTACTATCTCAATGTCGATTGGTTGATGCATTTAATACAGAAATGGCATAAAATGATAAGACAGACAATTTATCATTCAAACATGTGGAGCCTGTATTAGCAAAGGAACAGTGCTCTGACCTGCTGCATACATGAAGAAAGTCAAATGATTTTGATATTGCTTTGAAGTTTCCCCCTTTGCTTGGTGTGGGAAAACGCATGCGTACACACATTACAGCAAATGATTTATATACAATTTCTGCAGTACTTTGCTTTTCTCAACTGCCATTTACCAAAATATGTTGCTTATAAGAATTCAATCAAACCTGGGATTCTCAGAGATTAATAACCTGTGAAAAAAAGTACTTTGTTTACATTAATCAATGTATTTTAGAACCATAAAAATGGCATGTTGTTAAGTTTGTGGTCCTTACTTTACAAACATTATTACATCCATGTTGCCTTTTTGTAAATAATAAATACTGATTCCTTTTGGGAAACATTTGGTGTCTTATTCTGCAAACATCCGTGGTGGAGTCTTTGTGTGCTCTAGCTTCCCTATAGTTCATCAAAGAAGCTACACAGCATAATAGCACATGGTGAGGTCATGGTAACACTGAGCACGGCAGAAATATGCAAGGGGACAAAATTGTTGGTACCCCTTATTTAGTGAAAAAAAAAAACCCACAATGTTCACAGAATAATTACTCAAATCTGACAAAAGTAATGATGCATAAAAAAAATCTAACAAAAAGAACAAATGAAAGTTTGATAATTTTTAACAATTAACTAATGAAACAACTGTTAATGTAATACAGTCTTTCACTAAATCAGCTCAGAGAATTTTCTTTTTATGTGCTCTTCCTTTACTGTTTAAAAAAGGCATTAACCACCTTGATGTGCTATTTTATGTGACCTAAAAATATTTTTCTAATAGTTAAAATAGGTAATAATTTTAAAGACTTCAGGTGTGCCCTCGCTCTAGTTACATTATGTTGATGTTTGGAAAGTCCATAAGTCAGTCAGTCAGTCAGGGTTGAAAAGGGTGAAAAATGCTACTCTCAGTATAACAGAGCAGCTTTTGGATCAAATATGTTTTGCTAGCTGCAGTTCCCTGGACGGCCAGTGGGTTTGTGAAATTTGAATCCCGGGCTACATCCAGACATAGCTGAATAAGAAAAGGTCTGAGAACAAAGATGAATGTCGCCAAAGAAGTAAAGATGGATGGAGAGCATACAATGATAAACAGGGGAGATTAAGGACTGTTTGTGTGAACCAACTACAAGGCGCCATTACTCGATAGAAATGCACATGAATGCTGCTCAAAGTGGGACCACAGCCTTCTGAAGAAGTACTGAAAAGAAAATACAACTTAAACTCACCGGCCACTTTATTAGGTACACCTGTCCAACTGCTCGTTAACACTTAATTTCTAAGCAGCCAATCACATGGCGGCAACTCAGTGCATTTAGGCATGTAGACATGGTCAAGACAATCTCCTGCAGTTCACACCGAGCATCAGTATGGGGAAGAAAGGTGATTTGAGTGACTTTGAACGTGCCATGATTGTTGGTGCCAGAAGGGCTGGTCTGAGTATTTCAGAAACTGCTGATCTACTGAGATTTTCACGCACAACCATCTCTAGGGTTTACAGAGAATGGTCCGAAAAAGAAAAAACATCCAGTGAGCGGCAGTTCTGTGGGCGGAAATGCCTTGTTGATGCCAGAGGTCAGAGGAGAATGGCCAGAGTGGTTCGAGCTGATAGAAGGGCAACAGTGACTCAAATAACCACCCGTTACAACCAAGGTGGGCAGAAGAGCATCTCTGAACGCACAGTACGTGGAACTTTGAGGCAGATGGGCTACAGCAGCAGAAGACCACACCGGGTGCCACTCCTTTCAGCTAAGAACAGGAAACTGAGGCTACAATTTGCACAAGCTCATCGAAATTGGACAATAGAAGATTGGAAAAACATTGCCTGTCTGATGAGTCTCGATTTCTGCTGCAACATTCGGATGGTAGGGTCAGAATTTGGCGTCTACAACATGAAAGCATGGATCCATCCTGCCTTGTATCAACAGTTCAGGTTGGTGGTGGTGGTTTCATGGTTTGAGGAATATTTTCTTGGCACTCTTTGGGCCCCTTGGTACCAATTGAGCATCGTTGCAATGCCACAGCCTACCTGAGTATTGTTGCTGACCATGTCCATCCCTTTATGACCACAATGTACCCAACTTCTGATGGCTACTTTCAGCAGGATAATGCGCCATGTCATAAAGCTGGAATAATCTCAGACTGGTTTCTTGAACATGAGAATGAGTTCACTGTACTCAAATGGCCTCCACATTCACCAGATCTCAATCCAATAGAGCATCTTTGGGATGTGGTGGAACGGGAGATTCGCATCATGGATGTGCAGCCGACAAATCTGCGGCAACTGTGTGATGCCATCATGTCAATATGGACCAAACTCCCTGAGGAATGCTTCCAGCACCTTGTTGAATCTATGCCACAAAGAATTGAGGCAGTTCTGAAGGCAAAAGGGGGTCCAACCCATTTCTAGCATGGGGTACCTAATAAAGTGGCCAGTGAGTGTACATGAATGTAGCAATCTGCTAAAGCTCTCCCTTAAACCCAAACATGGAGTTGCATACCTTTTTATATTTCGCACACAGTACAAGTGAAGCAATAAAATCGCTGAAAATATTGCTGGACATTTTTATAAATTTTCATGAGGTCTGCTTTTTGTGACAAGCCATATCATGCAAAGGATTGTTGAATTACTTATTGCTTCTTCATTTCAGTTTATTACTATAGTGCCAATTCACAACACGTCATCTCAATGCTCTTTACAGAGATGATGTAATCTGATCATACAGTCAGATTGGTTCAAAATTTTCTATGTGAAGAAAACCAGCTAATTGCATTGACTCGAATTCAATCCCTCACTCCAAGCCTGCTTGTGGCGACAGTGGAGAGTAAAACTCCCTTTTAACAGAAAGAAACCTCCAGCAGAACCAGGCTCAGTGTGAGTGTCCATTTGCCGAGGCTGACTGGGATTTAGGATACAAAAGCAGAAATAGAAATCGAAGCAGAGATATAAAAGGCAACTGTCATTCAGCTCCACAGGCAGCCCCGTCCAGGAAAGACAGCCAAGCAGACGAGCTCCGAGCCAGCTCCCGTGTCAGAGGATGTGAGTGAGCACATACAGTTAATTACACCAGAGAAACAGGACAACACTAAAAAATAGGCCAAACTCCTGCATTTATGAACACAGATGTTTATGGCAGCTGCACAGCTGATATTTCTTTTCAGGATGGTGTCACAGCCATACAGAAACAGACCAGAGGAAGCTCCTATGATGAGAAAAAGCAGAAGGAGCTTAAAGCTAGAGATTGAACAAAAAAAAACCTGTAGAATGGGAGAACAGATAGAATGAAGCATAATGATGAAAAGGGGTGCCTATGTCCTCCAGCAGTCTAAGCCTATAGCAGCATAACTATAGAGATAGTCCAGGATAATCTGAGTCACTCTAACTATAAGCTTTATCAAAATGGAAAGTTTTAAGCCTAGCCTTAAAAGTAGACAGGGTGTCTGCCTCATAGACTAAATAAATATAATACTAATAAATAAATATAATACTAATAAATATACTAACATCAAAGATGATAAATACAAAATTCCTGCTCTTGTGTTATGTGATGTGTTATTTGGGGTTATTTGGGGTAAAGAAAATTATGTGTCTCTGCAAATCATCTAGGAGTATTCAGGGAAATCATAGATAAATAACAGTTTTAATAAAAAACTTATCAAATAATAAAGTTCTGTAGATATTAGTGCTTGTAAATATCAATTTTATGAAGAATGTTAATTGATACAAGAAGGTAAGTAATGAGAATGGAAAAGATTTACGCCCCAGATCTCAAAACTGAAAGAATTTTACCCACTATACCTTTTATTTAGAAATTACAGATGTTTAAATATATGCGTCTATTTGTTAGCAAAGGCTGTAGGAAAGTATAGTTTGTCTTTATTTAGAAAACATGTATGTTGTGCTCATTAATTTTCCTGTTGGAACAGTGTAGATTAGGGATGGGAATCGAAAACCGGTTCCTGTTCAGAACCGGTTCCGTATTTTCCGATTCCATGGCATCGTTTGGCAGCTCGCTGAACGATTCTTTTTTCGATTCCCGCAGCACCAGAGCCAAATGCGCCGGCTCTGGCGAGCACGACTTACGTCACGTTTTTTAAGCAAGTTACGCACACGGCGTTCAGTAAGCAAGTACGACGTGACTAGGCAAAAAAGGAAAGCAAAAAAATGGCGCCACACCAAGTAAAAAGATCCAAAGTTTGGCTTCATTTTACAAACGAAAAGGATGGAAAGAAGGCTCTTTGCAATCACTGCAAAGCTAGAATTTCAATCGCGGGAGGAAATACTTCAAATATGCTGAAACACCTCCGCGTACAACATGGGATACATTTTTCCGAGTGCCGTGTTTTTGATGCCTATCGGAAAGAGGCTGAAATTTCTACCAGGACGGAAGGCAAGTCTGGTAAGTAGCAAGTTTTACATCACTGGCTATGCTTAATGTTGTTCCTGGCATATCATATCCCATTTCTAGAAATAAACTAATTTCCTACCTCTCTTTGGGGTTATAAGGGAGTGTGCCTTTGTCGTTAATCCAATACTTCATTGCTAGCATGTTTTTTAATTAGAATTACTGGTAGCTGGAATTCTTACATGATTCTAGCTGTTGCAGTGGATGTAACGTAACACGCTACAAAGTTGCTCCGCGGTTCAGGGAGGGAGAGAAAGATGACGCTTGTTTATTTAAATCAGGGGGAGATGAGTTTATTTCCCAAAATTGTACAGTAATGCTTTATCATTAAACGGATGTCTTCTCCATTAGATTTAGATAACTGTGATGAGACGGGTAGCCTGGCTGGCTCAGAGGCTGGCAGCTCCTGTTCACTACCTTCTGTTTTCGTCGAGGCAGCCAGAAATAAAATGTCCCAGGTGAAGGTAGATGAGTGTCACCGTGCAATTACAAAGTTTATTGTTAAGGGTTTGCACTCATTTTCTACAGTAGAGGCCCCTGAATTTCGGTAGGTGAATGTGAGGCTGTTCTCAGGTTGTCATGTTAGATTGTCTAAATAAAATATCAAACTCATTCATTGTCATATATTCTCTAGGGAAATGACCATGGCTCTGAACCCAAAATACAAAGCCCCAAGCAGAGAAAGCCTAAGCAGCCATTTGATCCCTGCTTGGTATAATGTTGAAAAGGGAAATCTGATCTCTGAGCTGAAAACAGTGTCGAAGGCAGCAAACACGGCTGATGGATGGACAAGTTTTAGTCAGGATCATTATCTCACAGTTACTCTGCACTATGTGAGCAATGGCCAGGCAAAGGAAAAGGTCCTAAAAACCAAAGCTGTGTACCAAGCTCAGACAGGCTCAGCTGTAGCAGAGGAGATTGATGACATCCTAGAGGAATAT